AATGACCCCTGCTGCATATGGCCTGATAGTAATCCAAGTAAAACACTTTAAAATCTTTCTATAAAACCAGTCTTGTTTTGTTGAGTTTTTAAATTAAAAAAAAAATAAAGAAATTAAAATCCAGTTGGTTCTGTCCCTGATTAATTAGTATATTATTAGGTATGGAAGGCAACATAGATCAGTGTGAAAGACTGCAAAAATTCCTATCAATAGTATACGTAGCATTTAAATGTATGTGCAAGGCCATACTGGAGCCACCTCTTTGAAAGACTTGGTCCTGAGCGTTATCACTGTTCTTTCTGCTTTGAAGGCTACTTTAGTAAATGAGGCTAAGCTTTTGAGCATCATGGCTTGCAGAAGTGTATTAATTTGAAGTGTGTATATTTTCAGAGATATGTTGATTGCCTTTTGGCGATGTACATTCAAATACCAACCACCACAGTGATTATATTTCACTTTTTATTACTCTATATTTTTTCTTCTATTTTTGGTTCTATTTTCTGACCTTTCAATCTTTTAGTAAGGGTGGAAAATGAAGTATTATAAATTCACATTAATATTTTGCTCTCCTGCATTTTACTGCAGAATTTGGGCAATGATATAGTCAGTGCAGAATTTCCTTTTTATGGTACACTCTGTATTATTTTACCTGATGTGTGAACATACTGGGGTGACAGTGAATGACATAAATCACTTAAGAATTAATTCGTTTAAATTAATTTTGTTAAAAATATTCTAAAGTTGTTTTTTGCATTTTCCTCAGAGAACAAGATTTTTTATCACTAATAATCATTCTCATTTGTTAAAAAAAAAGTATTTCTTTTCTGTATGTTTGTTGTTATGTAAAATTCTGTGAAAAACATCTGCTAGTTTGAAATTTAAAGTTGTATTTTTTGCATACAACAGAATCAGCATTAATATGAAAAAAAATATTTTAATCTTTAATTTGACTTGCTTTGAATGAAATTATTATTTCATTTAATCAGATTTTACAGAGATAGAGATGTCTAGTTAAATAAAAAGCACATTTTTGCAACATGCAGAAGTATTGTTAGGAGAAGATAATATCAGGTTTTGAAAAGGATATTTGAGGATTGATTTAGTGCTTGAGAAATCATCTTTTATGTTTTCCAGCAAGCTGCATTTATGTAACTGAATAAGCATCTCTAGTGTGTTTCCCTAAAAATGTGTTGTAAAAATCTGAAGAGAATTTTCAAATGCCTGACAAACTAATGAATGAGAAATGAAACGCTTAAGTGCTTCAAGAATAGATACAAAAGGGTCCTGTGTGCCCTGAAGCAGAAAACTTAAAATAGAAAAGGTGGTTGGAGGTAATACTGAAAAAAGAATAATCGATTTGGAATAAAATTTTACTGAAGTGGTACATCACCAATGCTTCATTTTTGTTTAAGTAAAACTTCTTTTGTGTAACTGAGCTGAATATGGATGCAGGAAGGTGTTAGTGTCTTTCAGCTACTAATAATGGTGTTTCTCCTACTGAAGTTTAGCCTGCCATCTTTCCATGGCAAAGTGCCTGTTGATATTCCTGAGAGTTGGGGCAACTGCAGAACAAGACATATTAAATAGTACTTTTGAAATTATGTGCAGAAGTAATAAGAACATTAAAGTTGCAGAGTTAAGCACCAGAAGTTGCTTGTTCTAACCTTAATGTAGTCTTGTTGTACGTATACATTATGATAATTCTGTTCCTTGTTATACTGAAAATCTGTTTCAGATTTTCTTAAATGCAAGATTGTCATCTGTCTTTTTGCAGTTCTGTGCTCCATCTCTTGTCTCTCACATACTTTGAAAAGTTAAGTACCTTGAAGAAATAACTTTCTGATCATGTGGTAAAAAGCTGTATCACAGGTGATAGGCACTGAGGGATCAAATTAACACTGCATGAGAAACAGAGCTGTCAGCAAAATGCTTTAGTTGGTTTGTGTCTGTTTCTGTCCCTACAATTAGACTGTGGCCTGGATAGCAGCTACAGAACTACTTACAGCTTCTTGATAGAAGAAATGGTAACTGAAGTAACACAAAAAAATATTGTGAGTAAAAGTTGGGAAAAATGCTGATAAGATTCCCTGCAGGAACAGTGAAGAAGGTTCATTGATTCTGTAATTTCTCTGTAGATTAAATCTGAATTACATTGTGATGACCTAATGTTGGACTAGACATACTTCAGAATTCAGGACAGGGTGTATTTGTGATACTATTATTGTTAACAGGAGAGAGAAGAGGGTTCTTTTTTATTATATTAACATGTCTCAGATTCTGAGGGTTCATGTTTCAAACTATTACCTGAATTTTAAAAATGAAGTATCCCATAGTGTTGAGAGCATGATCTGTTTTCAGCCAGTAAGTATGGTGTGGTGTGTGGCTACTACCAAATTATTTTGAATGAACATTTTTTGGTGTTTCAAAAAGAATCATTTAGTTGATAAGCCTAAATATACCTGGATTGGCTGTTTCTGAGTTGCTATTAACATACTTTATTGGGTAGCATTTTTCTGCCATCCCTTTCTCATGAGGTTGCTGTTTCTGCCATGGTCATTACTAGAATTCTGGAATATAGGTCATGCTGCAAGCACCTCCAAACACTGATATTTTAAGATGTTTATTTATGTCTGTATATACCTACACGCATGCACAAGCACGTGTATATGAGTGTAAAGGAGCTGATACTGGATTTTGGAATTACTGATGAAAGTAGCACAAGTAAAATTGTTTTTTAAGCCACAGTTTTGTTTTCTTGATACTTCTAATAGAAATTATATGACACCTGTGAATGTTTAAAGATGCTGTCATGAAGTAACCCTTCCCTGTCTGACAATTTCCCCCTGCACTTTCATGACAACTAAAATCTATGGATGTGTTTTTGAGTTCAGCCCTGAAGGTTCAACATCTGGCTGATGGAAATTAAACATTTTCACCAGAGGTTCTTGCACTTGGAATTTGCTTCCTTCTGTGGGTCTGTGTCAAAACCTGACTGAGCCTGTTTAACTTGAGGCAATGGTGTAAAGCCCATCTGTTCCTTGAAACTTTTCCCTGAAGGAGTGATCTAGAGTGTATTTATATTCTCAGCTGTGGTTGTGCTTTTTTTAAGCTGATGCTTTTGGACTAATTTGTGGTTTGGGTTTGTTTAAAGGTGTGCTGAGTGGATGTACTTTTAAAGCAGATTTTAGGAATGTTGCACAACTTTCCTATTTTTAACTTGTGAAGACAGTGGAGAGTTCATGTTCCTGTTTACTATGAGTGGAGAAACACTTATGAACACTTATGAACTGCTACTGTTAAGAGGAATAGAGAACCCGCTGAGACTTCTATTAAAAATACACAGAAGTCTGAAAAGTGGAAATGCAAAGCATTTGTAACTGAGTATCTTTGAGCACCTGACTTTAAAATATTCTGTCAGTGTAATAGGTTGTTACTTTCTTTAGAAGGGAAGAGTATTAATGATTTTGTAGTTAGATTTACTATCTTTGCATTTGAACTTGGAATTCCCAATATAATTTAGTAGGAGGTGCATGTGATAAAGCAAGCTGACATTTAAATTCTAATCAAAATTTCTGTGATGAACCTTTGTTGAGTGCTCTTTGGGGGGAAAAAAGTGTACATTTAAGTAAATAGCAAAATTTTTAGAACTCCAACACTACTGAAATGATGGTGTTTTTCTGGGTGAAGATTGTCTCTTTTCCTCCCATAAAAGTGTTAACTTAAACTATTTACTACTTACAGTAAGTTATGATGTCAGACAAATACAATGTTGTTATGAAGGTGCTTCAGATGTTTGTATTGGGGTGGGTTATATTCATTTGTTCTTATACAATGTTTGAATAAATAATTTGATTAATTAAAGAAGATATTGTATCTTGTCTACATGAGGAAGTTATCACAAATAAGCTGTGGTTTGAGTTTAAAGTATGATAGTGAATCAGCAGTAACTCCTTAGATGAACAATTTTATTTTGTACTACAAATGACCTTGCATAGTTTAGCCGAGTGAAAAACATGCAAGTTCCCTCCAGCCCCAACGACAAATAAATATTTGTGTAGGGAGTTAGTGCAGTACAGTTACTACATAATAAAACTACATTGTCAGCTTATTCTATACTTTACTGGCCTTCTTAAAAGCATCCTTAGGACAAAGTATAGTATTGTGTTACAGATATATTCCTACAGGTACTTGTATGTTGTCTATGGACTTGAAGAAAAATATATTGTTTCTGAGAATTTCTATGAAAAATGTTTAAATTGCTGACAATATGATTGGGATAACATAAGTCTAGTATGTATCACTGGAATTGAAGATGCTAGTCATGAAAACTTGACTATGGTTGTTTGTGAAATGTGTTAATAGACTCATCAACTTTAGTTACTATGTTGACATATAGGGACTAATGATATTAATAAAATAATAAGATTAACAGCAGCTGGTATGTTTGGGGTTCAGATAGAAGTCATAAATACTTCTTTTCAATAACAGTAAAGTCACAAAATTACCTTTATTCTCTTGTGTAATATTAGATGATGAAGCTAAATGCCCCCTTGTCACTTGTTATGTAATAGCCATTTAAAAAAAAAAAGTAAATTAATTATCACAAGAGCTATCCTGTATCAAGCAGCTTCTAAAGTTGGTCACTGTTCCACTGCCTTTCTGGCTCTCCAGCACAGTGAATTCAGCCCACAAATATGGAGCCTTCACATGAAAATAATGGAAAATACTTGAATGCCTGTAACTCTTAAGCCACATGAACATAATAAAATTGATTGTATATCAGAATATTTAAATATGAAACACATTTTGGCTTTTCATGACAATGTAATTTCAAATACTTTAATTTGCTTGTTTTGCAGTTTTTATCAAGTAACTACTTTTCTTCAAAAACAGAAATGTGCATTATTTTCAGGTGCTTTGATCACTTTTTTTCTTTTGTCTTAAAATGTATCACTGTGTATTTCTTAAATATACTTTCTTTGGTTCTATAATTTTCTAAGAAAATAGAAAAACTGGGATTAGAGCTGAATGGAAACAAAAAGCAGTTGGAACAAGCCCAGCAGGATGTGACTGGAGCCAGAGAGGAGTGCCTAAAACTGACAGAACTGCTGAGTAAATCTGAGCACCAACTGCACCTCACCAGGTACCCCTTATCCTATTACATGCTGTAGTACCAATTTCTTCTGCTAATTTTTTGCCACAGGCTTTGCCACAGTTGTTGTAGATACTTGCAGACATTGACTGCATGGGCAGCCCCAGTTGTGTTAGGAGTGGAGATTTGAATAAGTGACTTATGAACTATAATTTATAAAAGTGAATTAGTAGTGTGTATAAGAGGCAATGTTCAGCTCTGGTGGTGAGATGGCATGGTTTTAGGCAAGAAGAAGAGCAAGGGAGGCTGCAGCTCGATTTTTTCTGTTGCTGTGATTAGTAGGACAGATATATTTGAAATGTTGTTTGAGACTGTAGTGTAGAGCAGTGCCTTTGAACACAGGAGTTCTCAGATTAATAACTTGAAATTTCTTCAGCAGAATGACCAGGAATATGTACATAAATTAACATAATTTTTTCTGTATGAGGTGAGCTTAAGTATGTGAGGAGGGTGTTTTGGTCTCTTGCTCAGTGAAGATACAGTACAATGCATTGTGTGATGAGAGACTTACCCTGAGCATATTCCATCCTTGGGTATAGTTCCCAGTGTCTTTTGCTGCACTATTCGTTACATATTTCTAGAAAACTCCAGAAGGCTGACATGCCAATTATTCATTGCAACTTGAGTTTGGGTAACTGCAGAACTTTTTTCCTTTCTCCTTGGAAAATGCTATTGTCCAACTGTTTGCAGGCTTTTGGTGATGTGTGTGAGTTTTTTGTTCCATTGCCCTGCTTCCCCCAAGAATGAACATCCATAAAAACAAATCTGGCAGCTTTTACTCAGTACTTAAGGAAAAAAGTTAAGTTAGTTTAAATTTTCCATGGGGGGAAAAAAAAGCTCAGATTTTTATCACTTAACAGAAGTCTGTGTATTTATCCAAGTCTTGTACTTTTTGGGCTTTGTGAGAATTCTGCCATTGAGCAAATGGAAATAAAATAGAGCCTTGTCTAAACTATTAAATTCAATGAATCATTTTTTTATTCAGCTAAATTTCTGTGTAATTCAGAGCACGGTTGTTTAACAGATGGAAGAAAGTACCACTCTAACAGCCTGTATTTAGAGAAAAAATATGCTAGAGGTTAATGAACTTGAAAAAAGTTTTGGGTGAGTTGTTAAGATATCTAAAGTTTGGATTTAGCAGAACTTTATTAATAATGATTTGTTGTGATAGTTAACCAAATGGCTTTACCACGCTCCTTTTAGCAAAGGCTGATTATATGCAATAAAGCTCTGGATATCTTGGAGGAAATGTGACTAGTGAATTTATAATTTTTAAATTTTTTTTGGTGAAAATACTCAAAATGTAAAAATGAGAACTATTGTCTGCTTTTGCATAGTGAAGTAATTAAAGCTGGACACCTAACATACAGATGATTCAGGTATCTTTTTGATATATGGTCTCTGACTTGGAAGGTTTTTGAGATGCAAATCATTAGAGGCTGGGAACAGTATTTTGGGCAAGTAATGCTCTGTGCTGGCCATGTTCTCATATAATTTCACAAATGCCTGCATTTTGAGACAGATGCTGAACTGCCATGGCTCCTTTGACCTAGTTCAGACACTCTTCTGCAAGGTCCTGATCTCCTTGAGGGTCTTTTTGTTGCTGGTGTTGTTTGGGTTTTGTTTTTTTTTTTTTTTTTTTTGTTGGTTTGGGGGATTTGGTTGGTTGGTTGGGTTTTATTTTATTTTTTTGGGTTGGGGTTTTCCTTTGTATTTGTGTTCATGTTTGGTGTCTCCTTACAAGAATTGAAATGTTTTCTATGCTGACATGTATTTATTAGGAAAATGTATATGTTGAGGCATGGGAAATAAGTTCAAATTGTTTTTCCTTGACATTCCCCAAATTCTGTAACACTTTGTAGATTTTTGTGTTCTCTGTACACTTGGACCGTCTGTCTGCTTTCAAAGAATACATTAGGTGAGGTTGCTTGAAGAGGGGGGGAAAGAGAGGAGGAATTCGTTGGTCCTGATCTGTTACCTGTTTTCCCCTTAAATTCATACAGCAGGGTTTGAAATGTTCTCATAGTGCTGCCTGTTTTCCCTGCCTTGCAGAGGAAAACATCCCCTGTTGAAATGACACTTGTCCTTAGCCTGTACTCTTTCTTCCTCTCAGCTCACCTCCTGGCAGAACAGGTTTTCTGTGCTAGCGAAGGTGTAAGTTACATGTCTCTAGTGGCATTAGTTTTGCATTTTGAACTCAGTATGTTTTTCATGGATGGGTACATCCGTAGTTGTTGCACGTAAATTATATTCACTTATGGTTTGCCTTCTTTCATTTATTCCCTTCACCTCAAATGGCAACTGTGTCAGTGAAAATACTTGAAGGGTAGGGGTAATAGCAGTCCTATGGGGGTTGTAGACCCATTCACTGTGGTGCTTGCCAAGGAAAACAGATTTTAAGCTCTAGAGTCCTGCCTGTGGGAGGTTGCTGCAGAAATTGCACTGATTTAGTGCATCTCTTGGGTATTCTGGCTTTGGCCTCGTCTTGCTGATTCTCTTCTTTTCAGGAGAGGACCAGCTGGTTCACTCCCAAGTCTTCTCACAACGCTGGAGTTGAGGGAGGCCTGTACTGCTGTTACACCATCATGGATAGTCTTTCTGTTGCCTTGCATGACCTGTCTGTACTGTTCTGGCAGAAATTAGAGGTAGCTGAAAGATACAGAAATAATTCTTTGTTTTGTATGAATTATTGTACTACTAAGGAGCAAAACTTCATTAATCCACTTTCTGAGTTTGGATATTGTAAATAAATAGGATTATAAAATGAGTACAAGAACTTTGGATTTTAATGTACAAAAATGAGATAAATGTATATGAAAGGAATAAATGAGAAAAAAACGTGCAATCTGTGTCATAATGAGAAAAGAAAGTACTCTGCAGAACAGCACTCTTCTCCAGGAGTCCCACTTCTTTGCTGTATCCTAGTTTTCAGACACTGTTGATTGATATCCAACTAAACAGCTTCTAAGTTAACAAAATGTACTTGTTAAAAATGAATTTAAAAAGGTTACAATTAGCTATTCTAAACCATTGCCACAGAGTTTAAAATTGCCTTTTCCTGTCACCTTTCTTCCTGGAGCAATATGTTGCTTAGAAATACTTGCTATTAACATGCACTTTCTGCTATTGAATCTACTAGTTAGTAATTCTAATTTGTATATCTTCAAAAGACTGGGGAAGTAGAGAACTTCTACTGTGTAATTTTGCTTGTCAGTCATGTTACTTTGCAGATGTCACCGTGCTATCAGACTGACCATGATTGTTTAATGTTTTCTTGGGGATTTCTTTTGCCCTAGTTTCAGCTTTGAGGTTACTGTAGTAGGAGAATCTTATGAAATTAGTTCTTAGGTCAGTGTTAAATTGCTCTTACTTTGGCAAGGTTAGGTCTTGCTAATTAAGCTTACCTGAAGCCCTTCTTCAGAGGGCAGAAAACATACAGGTCTATTGTTCTTAGTTAATGAGAAAATAGTCATTAAAAATCATGTCAATATGCTCATGGAAAAGATCATGTAAAAGATGCAAGATGTTAGCAACTTGTCCGAATCTTAGTGTGCCATCTAACGTAAAAAAAAATAAAATTCACTAGTCTTGTGTAACAAAATCATCATTAAAAAAACATTCTTCTTTTTTCTTTCAAGCCAGATCTAGAGGTATTATTTGTTTCAGCTGCAGTCAGATGCAGTTCTGTTTACATATGCCAAACAAGTTAAATAAATCCTAAGAAGCGAGGGAATCATCAAATTTCAAAATTGAAATTTTGGATGGATGGATGGATGGCTTAAGATATTTTGGACTGAAATTTGACAGGAAATATAATTGACTAAATAGAAGCAGATTTAGTTTAGTTTAAATTTTATTATTGTTTGCTTATATGAAATTATAAGAACTCTTGAAGGTCAGCTTGTAGGTAGGGAAAAATTACTAAATTAACATGTACTTTTATGTTCAGGTGAGCCACCAAGCTGCCTTAAATCCCTGTGTCACTCCCTTGATGGACTAAAGTTTATATTAGTGAGTCAGTGGGTGTTGTTTTTCTTGATAATTGTTTTTCCCCCATTATGTGATACTTCTCCCCTCTTTTTGACAATGATACTATCTCTAGAAAGCAGCATATCTAAGGACATGCCAGTTGGGTTTTAGCAGTGCTATAGTCATCCTACTTAGCATTGGTGCTTCCTGATTTTTTCAGTGACTCCATTAAGGCTAATTTCTATTACATGCACAATAAATAAAGCACATACCCTTCCAGGTTAATGTGGCATTATTTAGTCTCTGAAGCTCTGATGTCATGACCAGTGTTCCCTGTTACAATTTGCAACCTGCCTCATTCATTGTTTTCCCTATTTAAGCTATACTAATAAATGATAAAATGTAATCTTCCTGGTGGTTATACACAGCCTTCTGGGGAGTTTCACAATACTTAGTATTCATTGTTTGGTTTTTTTTTTTTAGTAGTATCTATTTTCCAACAATCTTAGCATCTCAGAGTCCATCATCTATGCTGGGGAGACGTTTTGGAGAAACACTGTTACTAATATTAAATGACTGACATGTGCTTAATCTTCTCAGATTGACTGATGAAAGGACCAATAGTACTAGAATTGGAGGTGTGGGGGAGAAAGCAGAAAGGGGCTGTAACCAGTGATTGATTTCTGCTTTTTTTTTATAGTCTGCTATAATAATGCATTAAAATAATTAAAAATTATTATTAACAATCATTATTAAAGCAAAAAGCATTCTTTTAAAAAGCAGGGATGAGTAATAACATGAAACTACTCTGATAACTAATAAACTTTTTAGATTCTGCTTCGTATGTTTACTTTTCATTAAATTTAGGGATGGTTTTGACTATGTTGTTTTGATTCAGTCAACATTTATTTCTATCTGGTTTTCATATACAAAGGCATCAGGATGCCAGAAAATAAACTGTTAACGGAGAATTAACTTCTTTGGCACGCTTTCATACTTATCTTCCAAATTAAAGAAAATGA